AGCGGCGCTCCCCCTCCTCCAGCCCGCCCTTGGCCGGGAAGATGCCCGGGTGAAACCAGAAGCGGCTCCCACTTCGCCGCGTGACGGCCCCCGCACCAGTGACCTGGAAGCAGGGGAGCTGCCTCTGCCTCCAACCTGCACGGCGGCGGGGACCACGGCTGCGACGAGCCCGCGGCGCGGGAGGCGGGAGAGCTGGGTTCGCCCTCCGCGGACCCTGCGGCGCAGAGAGAGTGATGAATAAATGAGTAACCGCATCAATATTTAAGTGTTCCCTCGGAGCGCTCGAGCTCAGGCGTCACGAGTTGGGAGAAATTACAGGCTCTGGTGGGGGGCTTAAACTATTACTTCCACTCATTAAGTGCCTACTGTGTGCAAAGCCCTGGGTATTACTTGCACGCTTGGCTTATTATTAATAGCGATAACAATGGTTAATAATTATAGATGCTGAATTTCGGCCAGTACTAGTTTGTGCTCTTTACATGCATTACTTCATTTTATCCTGGGGGAGTAACCTTGTGGGTATGGTTTTTATCCCTATTATCCAGAAGATAAAATTGCAATTTAGAGAGGTTATCCTGCCCAAGATCCTTAACTGGCAGAGTTAGGATTTGAATTCACACAGATGACCCCAAATCCTGCACCTTTTTTTTTTTTTTTAACTTTCAGAGCCTATACTTAAAAAAAAAAAAAGTGATACAATAAAATCAAATAGGACAGACATGCATATGATGAAGAGCAAAAACGCCATCTCTATCCTTGGAATCAGGGATGACCACTTATAGCCGCTTGTGTTTATAGGCCTGGTGGTTACCTCCATATCTCTATATAAATGCTTATATAACTACGGATTTATCAGGACTGGCCATTATTATTGTTTTCCTGCTATGATAGATAACAATTTAGCTCACTCACACCCACTTCCCTTTCTCAATTTTATATAGTTAAGCTATTATTTTTAGTTCCTCTACTGGATACCTTTTTACTGGAAACCTTTATTTCCTCTTGGGGAGACTCTCCACAGTACTGCTTGTCTTCCTGCTGTGAGAGGACGATGTCGAAATCCCCACTCTCCAGGCCACGTCCTCCACCAGGAACATGGATGTAGGAAACCAGTACAGGAGACCTATGGGAGCACACCTGCCACAAGCCCAATGCTGACCACCTCCCACCTTATGACTGGGGTGGAGGAGTCCGTGGCATTGAGCCCCATGGTTCAGAATCCCGATGGACAGCACCTAGCTTTGGAGACAGTCAGATCTGCCTGTGCATCTTGGCTCTCTGCCACTTAGCAGCAATGAGACTTGAAATTTAAGCCAGCTCTCTAGCCATTCTCAGCCTCATTTCCTCATCTAGAAAAAGGGGATAATGATTCCTACTTCAAACAGTTGCTGAGAAGATTACATGAGAAAATGTTGTCAAAGATCATAATGCAGTGGAGGCCACTACAAATGATCTCCAGGCATCTGCACATCATATACAGTCTTTTTTCCTGATTATAAAAGTAATTTAGAAAATACAGAAAAATATAAAGAAGAAAATAAAAATAAATCATAACTTCACTATCCAGAAATAAATATTGCTAACAATTTGTTGTATTTCTTTCCAGTCTTTTCTCTACACTACATGTTGTTGTTTTATATGTATTATGGTTGTGAGGCAATGTAGTGTAATGGCTAAACCTGTGGGCTTTGGCATCCTGGTTCTACTATTTATATGTATTTTCTCATTTATTCCAAGAGAAAACCATTTAAGGCAGGTGCTGTTTCTACCCTCAGTTTTACCAATGAGGAAACTGAAGCAGAGAGAGGTTAAGTAATTTTTCCCAAGTCTCCAACTGGAAAATTGCAGAGACTGTACTTGAACTCAGATCTGAGTGACTCTACTGCCTGTGACAATCTGCCCCCACACTAGTTTGTTGGTCATCTAAGCACTATATCCATTTGAAATTGATAAAGCAGGAAGTGTTGTCATACCCATTTTACAAATGAAGAAACTGAGGTATAAAAAAGGGTAACAGACTTACCCGAGGTCACAGAGGATGAAGCCACACTAACATATATTTGTCACTTTCCTTTAATGGTTCTGTTTCACCTGTTTCCTAGCTCTCCAAAACCACTGGACTGCCTTCTCCTGCCTCCCTCTTCCCCATTCCCCATGGAGCAGCAAGGCTCTAGGAAAGGGCAAAGAGGACTCAGATGGCCTACTCCCGCTCTCCTTCCTCCTGCCCTGGCCCATGGAGTTTGGCAAGCTCACGCTTCCTCCTGGCCCCCACTGGGGCTGTGGGAGGGCAGTGGAGCCAGAAAGGGCTACCCATGCCTCATCACTTGGCCCGGGAGGAAAGAGCAATGGTCTTCAGTGAAGAAAAGAGTAAAAATTCCCAAGACACTGACTTGGCCACCTAGAGGTGTGTTTCTGTCTCTAGAAGATGAGACTATCAACACCTCCAGCCCCCTACAGCCTGCCAGGAGGGTTAGACAGAGGACTTCCTGCTGCTTCTGTCTCCCCAGGGTTGGGTGTATTCATGCCTTCCTGGACCTCTCTAGTCCATTAGGATAGTTCTTGCTTTAAAAGAGTAGTCCTTCATGTAATTTCCAATTGTTGCTTCCCTCTGCAATACTATATTGGCCCTTCCACATAGGCACTCCAAATACATTTACCTGGCTCTTTAAGCTACATTTCCCCCTGTCCTTCACCTCTCCTTCTTGGCCTCATCATGTTGAGTCACACAGCCCAGGTTCAAATCCTGGTGCCACCACTTCCTAGCAGTATAAGCTTGGACAAATACTGAAGTCCACTGAGTCTCAGTTTCCACATCTATAAAATGGGCTTAATAATAGGAAATTACCTTATAGTGTTAGTATGAGAGCTATCTCAACACATTCTAAACAGTAATGAGTATTATCATCTTAGATATCTTTGCCGAAAGCAAAAGGTTGTACCTCTTTGTTGTTTCACTTGCATTTTTTTATTGCAAGTGAGATTGAATATTCTTTCAGTTATTAGTCTATCCTCTTTTACTGTGTTTCCTCTTTTAAAGAGTTATCTATTTTCTAAATTGTGTATTTTCTATGCCTGTTTTTCTTGAAGCCTTAATTTCTTTTTAATTTACATTAACCCTTTATATATTAACAATAATAACACCTTGTCTTCTGTAGTTATTGCAAATATGTTTTGACATAAGAAGTTATGTAGTCAATCTTTTCATTTCTTCCATTGTTTCAAAAGTTCTTTCATAGGTCCAAAAATATTCACACACATTTTTTTCTAGTTTATAAGTTGTTTGGCTTTTCTTTGTTCTTTTATTCTCTTTAAACTCTTCAAAAAACTATTTTGGTAAATGATTTAAGGTGAAAATCTAACCCTCTCTCTCCAATAGCTATCTAAGTTTCCCAATACATATTGCAAAACCCTATCCCTTTGCCAGTGGGTTTTTAAATATAAGTTCTTATACATACTATGGACAGAGTCTAAACTTTGCATTCTATTCCTCTGAGATATTATTGTGCCAGTGCCATTCTGTTGTAATTATTGTTGCCTTTTAAATGCTTTGTTAGAATGGAAGAGCAAATCTTCACTCTTTTCTTCAAAGATTTTCTTTTCTTTTTTCTTTTTTTAATACATTTTATTGATTTCAGAGAGAGGAAGGGAGAGGAAGAGATAGAAACATCGATGATGAGAATCACTGATCGGCTGCCTCCTGCACGCCCCCTGCTGGGGATCGAGCCCTGGTCAGGAATTGAACCTTGATCTCCTGGATCATAGTTCAGTGCTTAACCACTAAGCCACACCAGCCAGGCTTCTTCAAAGATTTTATACTACTTTTACTCACATATTCATCCACATGAGCTCTGATTCTTTTGGAATTGTGAGATAAATTTTTGAGAAAAATTGACATCTTTACAAATCATAGCTATTACAAATCATGATATAATCCCTAAAATTGGGAATAAGACAATGATGTTCTCTCTCCACTTCTATTTAACATTGTGCTGGAGATTTTAGCTAAGGCAATTGGGTAAGAAAAAGAAATGAAAGCCAGCCAGATTGGAAAGAAAGGAAGAGTAAAACTATCTCTATTTGCAAATTACATGATCTTATAAATGGAAAATCCTAAGGAATCCACAAAGAAACTATTACAACTAATAAATTGGCACAGCAAGTTTACAGGATGCAAGATTAATATACTAAAATCAATTGTATTTCTATATACTAGCAATGAACAATTGAAAATGAAATAAGAAAACAATTCCATTTATAAGAGTATCAAAAAGAATAAAATATTTAGAAATGAATTTAACAAAAAAAGTGTAAAATTGTACACTGAAAACTACAAAACATCATTGAAAACAATTAACAAAGACCTGAATAAATGGAAAGACACCCTATGTTCATAGATGAAAAGACTTAATATTGTTAAGATAGCAGTATGCCCCAAATTGATCTACAAATTCAACATATTCCCTATCAAAATTCCAGCTGGTGTTTTTGCAAATTGATAAATTGATCCTTATTGAAATTCAAGGAACCGAGAATAGCCAAATAAATCTTGAAAAAGAAAAACAAAGTTGGTGGACTCATACTTCCCAGTTTTAAAACTTACTGCAAATCAAGACAATGTGGTACTGGCATAAGAACAGACATATAGATCAATAGGATAGAATTGAGAGTCCAGAAATAAACCCTTACATTACAGCCAACTGATTTTTCAACAAAGGTACCAAGACCACTCAATAGTTTTCAACAAATGGTATTGGAACAGCTGGATAGTCATATGCAAAAGAATTAAGTTGGACTCCTTCCTTACACCGTTATACATATTATACACTTAATATACAAAAATTAACTCAACATAGATTATATACATAAGTGGAAGCATTAAAACTATAAAACTCTTAGAAGAAAATATTGGAGTAAATCTTCATGACCTTTAGGTTAGGCAAAGCCCTCTTAGATACAACACCAAAAGCACAAGCAATCAAATAAAAAGTAGGTAAACTCAGCTTAATCAAAATTAAAAACTTGTGTGCTTCAAAGAATACCACCAAGAAACTGGTAGTATCCAGCCCTAGGTATATACTCAAGAGAAGTGAAAACATACATCCACATAAAAAGTTGTTCATGAATCTTCATCCCCAGAATCCTACCCCAAATCTATAAATCTATCCCCACCGGCATTTGTCCCACCTGAGAGGTAGACGTGTTTCTGTGTGCTTAATTTCCCTCTCTTTGCCTTGGCGCAGGCTTCTATCTTCTCCTTCATTTCTGTGTTTCTCATCTACTGGCTCCTACTCTCACCACATAAATATGTTCGAGTCACTCCCCATAAAAAAGAGAAGACGACAAACTCCCGCTCTCTATCAAACTCCCTCTCCATGTCCTCCCTTCCATCAGGTGTCCTGAAGATGACTTCTCCTCATCTTTATCCCCTTACTTCCCCCATTCACACCCAGACCACTGCAGTCTGGCTCTCTGTGCTCCCACCCCATTCACAATTTTGAAGTCGAAGGCCCTTCTTCAGCCCGTCTTACTTGACCTCTTTTGGCATTCAGTAGTTAACCGTCCCCTTCTCCAAACTACCCCAACTGTACTTTCTGCCTCTGGGACTCCACCCTTCCATGCTTTTGGTCCTGCCTTTTCCTCAACCCACTACTTCTGGGTCTCCTTCAGGGGCCTCTCTTCCTTCCCCTGTTTCTTAGCATTGGTTTATTTCTCAGCCCTCTTTTCATTCCTCAGACTCTCCTTGGAGATTCACTTTACACACATGGTTTTATTCACCCTGTATATGACCCCAACTACCATATGTCACTCCCAACCCAGTCCTCTTTTGTGAACCCCAGATCCTTACCTACAAATGCTTTGAAACATCCATAGATACCTCACACTCAACAAGTTCATATTAGTTTGCTAAGGTGGCCATAAAACAATAGCACAGACTGGGTGGCTTAAAAATGGAAATTTATTTTTTCACAGTTCTGGAGGCTAGAAGTTCAAGATCAAGAATCTATAGAAGTGTTCCAGCAACTAAATAAAGGAGGAATGATTGAACTGGAATATCACTATTTCACAGCCCCTAATGAATGAATAGATCTAAGCTATGATTGTCAATGGCTACTGACATCACACCCAAAAAGAGATAACCAGGAATTATGTGCCTCCTAATGGAAGAACACACACCACCTATGAAGTAGTCTTGTCCCCTCAAAAAATAAA